CGGGGCAACCCCCGGTATCAATACAGGCTGGGGGATGAAGGGATTGAGAGCAGCCCTGCCAAGAAGGACTTGGGGGAACTGGTGGATGAAAAGCTGGACATGAGCCAGCAATGTGCGCTCGCAGCCCAGAAGGCCAACCGTATCCTGGACTGCATCAAAAGAAGCGTGGCAAGCAGGTCGAGGGAGGTGATTCTGCCCCTCTGCTCTGCTCTGGTGAGATCCCACCCGGAGTACTGCGTCCAGCTCTGGAGCCCTCAGCACAAGACATGGACCTGTTGGAGCAGGTCCAGAGGAGGGCCATGAAAATGATCAGAGGGACGGAATGCTTCCTCTATGAGGACAGGCTGAGAGAGTTGGAGTTGTTCAGCCTGGAGAAGAGAAGGCTTCGGGGAGACCTTATTGTGGCCTATCAGTACTTAAAGGGGGCTTCAAAGAAAGATGGTGGCAAACTTTTTAGCAGGGCCTGTTGCGACAAGGGGGAATGATTTTAGACTAAAAGAGGGTAGATTTAGACTAGATATAAGGAAGAGGGTGGTGAAACACTGGAACAGGTTGCCCAGAGAGGTGGTAGATGCCCCATCCCTGGAAACATTCAAGGTCAGGTTGGACGGGGCTCTGAGCCACCCAAGCTAGTTGAAAATGTCCCTGCTCATTGCATGGGGGGTTGGACTAGATGACCTTTAAAGGTTCGTTCCAACCCAAACCATTCTATGATTCTATATGAGCAGAGTCAATGTCACAACTTCCCAGAGAATGTAGTGCTATGTTAGTTATTGCAGATAGGCAAGCAGGGGTAAAGAGTAGGCAATGCGTCCATGACACTCTCAAACCCTTGAGATTGGGGTGTAGACTGAGTGGGACTGCATAGTTTATCATTGCACTTAACTCTTCAGACAGCTTTGCTCCTGACACTCTCTTTTGTGTTGGTAAATATGAGGAATTAATCCCGTTCCTGTCCAGTGTGTCACACTAGCAGCAAAGTGGAAATTCATGTTGTCTGCGAGCTGATACAGCTCCTTGGTTGTATTGAGTTACACAATGACTTGTTGTGGAGCTCTGGGTTGTTTGAGTGGTGGCTGTGCTTATTCCCCAGCACCAGGCTCAGCCCAGCCCAGAGCCCTGCTGAAACCGTCCCCATCTGTGCACCAGTCCCAAAACTGCCCCAAGTGAAACCCACTGCTCCTGCCTCACTTTTCAGTCTGAAAATTCTGAAATTTTTCAGATACATTTATAAGATGTTGTTTTATAAATAAAGGAAAGAAATTTGCTATAAACCTAACAGATCATTTCAGCAGAACTTGCTTCAGCATTGCTTACTACAGGCAATTTAAGGACAACCTGATGAGTACACCCTGTCATTACCTTCAAAGTTGTCTTGTAATTGCAATTGCTAATGGTGGTGCTGAAGATAAAGATCTTGTCCCTTAAACTAATGAGTATTCCACCACCTTCTCTTTCTGTTTCACCAGTGTAGAGATTATACGCTTGGGTAACAGTTTCTACATTGACTGGGACCGTAAAATGTATTATCCGCTGAATGACACGCCGGCTCAGGCCCGTACCACTACACTCAATGAAGAGCTGGGGCAGATCAAGTACGTCTTCTCAGACAAAACAGGAACTCTCACTCAGAACATCATGTGTTTCAACAAGTGCTCCATCAATGGCAAATCCTACGGTATATTATCTATTTGTCTTATTCTCTGAGTTTTATTCCATTGCATGCCTCTTTGTCCACAGAGACTAAATATGATATCCATAGAGAGTGTCTTTTAAGAAGGTGCAGTGATCAAATGCAGGGCTGCCTGTCAGGGATGCCTGGACAGCCCTGATTACATCATTTGCATATCTTAATATCATTTTCCTCTCCCTTGTTTCCCCTTTTTGCCATACTTTTACCTCCCTTTTTCTGCCCCAGTATCATCCCAACTAAAGAACCTGCACCTTATTACTTTTTCCTCATCGGTCCCAGTTTTACTACATCTGTACTCAAATTTGTTTCTTTCTGATATCACTACCTAGGTAATCTCACACTTTTATTGACATTATTGACATGGTTACCCAGGTATTGCTAACCCTGCAAAACATAACGCATAACTCACATAACCAACTCTCTCTTATCCACTTGTGAAATCAGCTAGCCCTCATGGGGTTATCTGCAAATTTTGTCAGCTTCTCACACTGTTCTCTCTCACATTCAGCAATTTCTCATGTCATGAACAGTGGTTTTCAACATCCTGTTCAGGTAGCTGAACCTTCAGTCGGCACCTAGTCAATGGCCTGGTCATTTGTCTTTAGCCCTGACATACTTTAGCTACCAGAAGGGAGAAAAGTTTGTAGGGAGTTGGAAAAAATGGGAAACAAAAGTTGTTACCTATGTTAGATCCTAACAGTCACTGACTTAAAAGGCTCGTTCATTGTATGGCCCCGGGCAGTTTTCTTCATACTGCTCAAGAGGTGCTAACAATTCACAAACTGACTAATTGATTAACATCATTAGATTCCCCCAGAGAAATTAGTCACCGCTTATTTGTAGATTGATGCTTGTTTTGCCTGTGTCAGACCTGCTGATGGACTAGTGTGCCAGAAAGATGGTCTTTTTTTCTCAGTGCTATCAGCTGGCCTAATAAAAGAAGTTATTTCTTCCTATAAATCTTGTTTTCTGTATATTTGGAGACCACTGTATCCAAAACAGCGCTACTCTGCTAGCCAACGTTAGTGCTGCTAAACAGCTTGAAAAATATTCAGTCTGTTCATTCATGTGTCGTTAGTTGACTCTTCCAAAGTGGATGTGACCACTAACATAGATACAGGGTGTGGGTTCAAGAAATGAATGAGAAATATGCAGAAAGAAGGCGGACAGTCTATAGTTTTCTAAATGCTTAGCTTCTTCCTAGGAATGTACTTCTTCGGATTTGCTCCTCAGGGGCATTTGGGAAAGCCATCCTAGAAAAGATGAATTAGTTCTGCTGCCAGGGAAGCTACTCCGGAGGCTTAAGCTTCCCATTGGGAAGGAGGTGTCCAAAAGCCTCTCTCTTACAGTTCCCAGGAGATCAATTGATGTGCAGTTCTCAGGAGAGATGACTTCTAAGTTTCTTCTACATCCTCAGGGCTTTTGTGAGGGAGTACCAGTATCTACAATTGACTTTGGTCACAGTTGAGGTTGTCGGTGCAGGTATGGATCTATCATTCATGTAATTCACTGAATTTCAATTTTATTTCAATGAAGGGTTGAATCTGGCTGGGCTGGGCACAGTCCAGACCTTCCAAGTGAAATTTTTCTTCACGCAGAGGAAGTTTCAATAGTGTTTCCTGGAGACGAGATGTCTTCCATTTCTGTGACTAGATCATCAGTTCAGGGAAAATGAATAGAGCAGTCTTGCTACCTTGACGTGGGAAGAATGGCTTTGACAACTCCTTCTCTGTGGTAGTCCGGGGACTGTTGCAAACCCAATACGATCCAGGAGCTGGGTTTTGTCTCACATTCCAAAGGGAAGGTACAAGAGAAGTCATGCCCTGAAAGCACCTTCGTTTTCCTCCCAACACTACACGGGTTCAGCTTGAGCCAAGTCTTCTTTACCCAAATGCCAGTCATTTTTATGGAAACTGCTTTGTGTTTCAAGCGTCTGTCAGTCTCTGGATTTTGTCATGGATTAACATGGAAACTGATTGATATGAATCATCCGTCTCCAGTGCCCATGTCAAGATATTTATGCTTACCGAAACTTTTTAATTAGATAATAGCTTCAGAACACTTTAACCAATTTTTGTGGTAGAGGAGATCAGAGACTGCACTTATCTGGAGTTAGTGGCTATAACTTCAGTCTTTCTTGCTTCCAGGTGATGTGTACGATATGTCTGGGCAAAGGATAGAAATAAATGAGGTAAGTGCTCAAGTGCTATCAGGATCTGTGCTTTCAGTGAATCTGCTTGCCTAAGTGCTAGTGGACACAACCCACCCAGCATGGTTCATGCTCTTGACCCTGCAAGAGCTGATGCTTTTGACCCTGACAACAGGAATGTTTGTTCTTGTGGATGTCAGAGGATTGCCAGAGTTGCATTTCCTTCCAGTAAGCCTGGTTTAAACCTGCGGGTCGGGTAGCCTGAGTACCCACTGTTCTCTCAGCTTCACATGACACCCTAGTGCATGCACAGCTCTTCTTGAATACTTGGCCATTGATGTTTGTTGGAAACTTGGACATTGGTGGACTTTATTATCCTTGGCAGTTAATTAAAGCTTTGATGGGGAACCAGTGAGTTCAGTTCATATTGATAATAAGGTCACTGTCAAATTCCCCTAATGTCTGGACACTGGAAAGTGTAAAAATGGGTGACTTCTCCATTTCTTTCTAGCCTCTGCTTGCTGGCACAAACCCACGTCTTGAGTTTCTAAAATGTCTGAAAACTGTGTGCAGTAATCCAAGTAACAAATGGCGAGATGATGATGAAAATCCCATTCCTCGTTGCAATGATTCATTTTCAGGCCATTTAAAACTTAAATTACCCACTGAAATTGGCTATTTGTGCCGAGTGCTGTGCCTCCAGACTGCCCTCGCTTAGGCAGCAAAATGCAAAGGGCTGACTTGCCTGGGGAGACATGCTGGTCTCCTGCCAACCGGCTGCCCAGCAGCTCCTCCTGTCCGTGATACTCGCCAGAGCAGAGTCCTGCTGCCCACACATCCGCGGTGTTGCAGTGCCTGGACCTTGCTGCGCAGATGAGTGGGTTGGGGGGGTGGGTCTGTGCTCTTGTGGTAAGTGCTAAATGTCAGCTTGCAGAGGTCAGAAGGATGACTCCCATCCTGGAAACTCTGAGCTCATCGGGGATGGGGCGGGAGTCGGAATCGTCCCAGGCAGGCTTGGCAGTGCATTCCTCCATGACACATCATGCTGTGAACTTCTGGCCATTTTTCCAGTACATTCCCCTCTGCTTGGGGCTCCTTGTTTTTAGACAAAATGGGCAGTGCCTGCGGAGTTGAACCTTTACATCACTTGTCTGTCGTCTTTTTTCCATATCAGGATTTTTTCTTGCTTTGGGAGAATAGGGTGGAGAACACAGCCTTTTAAGTTGTTTTAAATTGGGCTTCCACATTCCCCTATCACAGGCAGCCATTGACATCAGGAGCATGATGCCTCCAAGCACGCATGTGTTGAAGGCAGGCATTTTTTTGCTATAGAAATCCTTTGGTGGGGATCCTGTAGGAGCATTTGCTGTCATACAGAGAGGCTTCTTTAGCTAACCAGGTTCTCAGCCTGAGTGCTGCTCTGAAAGGCACCTCAAGTGCCTGTCCTCTCCTGTGATTCAGTAGCTTTCATGACCTCCCACTTACTTAGTCTCACCAATCTCTATCATGAAGAGCCCTGCAGGAGAGGCCCTTGTAAGGAAGAGAGAGGGGCTATGATGGGCAGGCATTGGTGTACAGGCATATAAGAGCTCCACAAATAACACCGAGACATATTTTTGCAGAACACAGAGAAGGTTGATTTCTCATACAACCAGTTAGCTGACCCGAAGTTTGCCTTCTATGACCATAGCCTGGTTGAAGCTGTGAAGCTAAGTGATGTCCCGACGCACAGGTTCTTCCGGCTGCTCTCACTTTGTCACACAGTGATGCCAGAAGAGAAGAAGGAAGGTGAGGATTGTTGAAGGCACCAGGCTGAGTGGTTACGTACACCCTGCACCACAGTATGTCTTCTCTCCACAGAAGCTGTTATTGGTCCTTTTGGCTCCCTGGTGATTTTCTGTAGTATATGGCTACACATAAATCAATGTCTTTGGAGATGCCACATGGGAAGAAAAAGGGCCTCCACTCCCTGTGCACTCCTGTGGCGGAGCTGACACTACTGCAAGCACTACACCTCTGGAGTGCGGAAACTGCAGGTGCCACAGCTTCCCTGAGGTGGCAAATGGCTTGTCCCACTCTTTCTGTACTCTGCACCAAGTCCCATAAAGTAAAGCGCACAGGGCACCTATCCACTGGAGACTCATTAGCTCCACTCACCCAGTGTTGCCGCAGGTACTGGGTCAGTCTCCTCAAATCCCAGACAGGGTGAAAACTGTGCTTTAAAGGCTTGAACCATTAATTGACACATACAAGGTGAAAATACTGATGAGAAAAATACATGCAGATGTAACTAGAAGGGGTTAAACCCAAGGAAGTTGTCCTCTCAGTTGGACTCCAAAGAGAGTGATAAAAGTCCCCAGAAGAGTCTAGGCCTCTTGCACTGGCCTGGAGGATGGGTTGATAGGACATGACGGAGATGTGTGGACAGAAGGTGCTTTTTAGAGCTGCACCTCTAGGCATAGACAGAAAAGCAAAGGGTTAACTGCTATATAATGTCTTTGATTTTGTATTTGTTTAGCCTCAGAAACAAGGCAGAAGCCACATTACTTTTTTTTTCTTGCATGTCAGGTGACTTGGTGTATCAGGCCCAATCTCCTGATGAGGGAGCCCTCGTCACTGCTGCCAGAAACTTTGGATTTGTGTTCCGGGCTCGCACACCGGAGACCATCACTGTCATGGAAATGGGAGAAATAAAAATCTACAAACTCCTAGCTATTCTTGATTTCAACAATGTTCGCAAGCGAATGTCTGTTATTGGTATGTTCTCTTTGCTCCCTTCTTTCCTTCCTGACTTTTTAGGCTCTCAAGTTGGCCCTCATTCTGCTGTGATGCCTTTTTCTAGGAGACCTCCTTTGCAGTGCTTTCTGAATAACATTTACTTCTGAGCGCTTGAGATGGGCTGCCTTGGCTTTTCAATTACACAGCAACAGTGCTAGATAAATACTTAACTTAGGCAGGTGGGAGAACATCTTAACATCTGAACCACAATGATGGAGCAGCCTCCTGAAGACACTAAGCTTTTTACATATCTTACTTCCCTCATGACGATGCAGGAAAGGCCTTCCTTCTAATCAGCTTTAAAATTATCAGCGAAATCTGAGAAAAGTGGGAAAGGAGAAAGCAAGGACAAGTAGAGAAGCCCACTTTCCCGAAAGGAAAATGGAGAAATGATTCAAGAAACCTCGTGTAGCCTTTCTTAATACCCTCAGATATTTCAGGGATTGGAATATCATAACTGTAGCAAGAGAGTGGTAGTACCTTTACTGGTAGGAGCAATAAGAGCAGCAGCACCAGTTCCCTAAGAACAAATTGTTCTTGACTTTTGAATGCAGATGTCCTGCCTGAAGTGCTGCCTGTAGGAACTACATAGTGCAACAGAGCATCTGCTCAGACCAATGCAATCTGGGTACAGTTGCCTGTGCTGCTACTGCTAAGGTAGAGTGTAGTTGCATTGGTGCCTTTTCTAAGCAAAGCTTGTCTTGATTCCTGGGAGTTTGCCAAAACTTGGTGGAATTCAGACACCTCTAAAAACCTTTCTTCGTTTTGATGGAAGTGCTGTGAATCCAAATTGCCTCAGTCTGGGATTTGTAGCATTTCTTTTCCTCGTAGTGCGGAGTCCAGAAGGTGATTTGACTTTGTACTGCAAGGGGGCTGACACCATTCTTTATGAACTGCTTCATTCATCCTGCGACTCTCTCAAAGAGGAGACGACAGAACACCTGAATGTAAGTGTTTCCTTCTGCACAACATCTCTCCGTTTGATGGTTTCCTTTTCTCCAGGTGTGGAAATGTATTTTGTATTGAGACAAAAAACAGATTTCAGAAGCAGCACCCAAGCAGTAGTTTTTTAATTTTTTTTTTTTCGTGGGGAATAGAGAGGAAAATAAATTTATAAAGCCTTAGATCTCAAATCAGTTGCCTAAGCATGGGCAGCAGGTGCCATTTGAACTGCTCTAGGATATCCAGGACATCTGGACACGGATGGCAAGTACAATGCAGAACATTTAGGAGACCTGTATGCCTCTGGAGTAGGAGCTGGAAGCCAGGCAGGATAGGTGAAACACCTGAAAAGGCACAACGCATCTGTGTTTTGGCAACTAAATTCCATCCAAGTCTGCTATTACTCTACAATGCGTGCACCCGATGCACTCAAGCATGCCCTGGATCGGAATAACTCAGGTGACCAGTAAAGGGCCACAAGTAAAGAATTCTTGAATACAATTCAGATCTGCAGTGATTGCAATCCGAGAGGTGTCAGTCAGAAGGGACCGGGTAGGCACTGGGACATACCTCCCCTTCTACCAGATTATATAGGGGCATATTGACTGGGCGGCAAGGAAAATGTGTCACTCAAACTTGTGGCCTTTTAAGTTGTTGATGGTTTGCACTGGGAGGCGGTTACTCACCCAAGTGGATGTTTCAGCCAATATTTACTCCAGATACCAGATCCTTCTGATACAATGCAGAGCACAAGATAACAAAAAGTTTTGCCAGAGGGGGTGTGCAGTAGCACAAAGATCTCTGCTCACTGCCTGGGGCGGCCAGAGAAAGTTGCCGGCAAAGGAGAGGGCAGGGCAGAGCAGAGCTGTTCCTGATGCACCTTCACGTCAAGCCTGGGGGAACACCCCTGTTTTCACAAAGGGATCTCTGTTATTCCACCGAACACTGAGAGCCGTACTGTCAATCATACCTCTGCAGAAAGCACAGTTACAAGGACTTGCTGAGATGTCATGGCTGACTGTGCTCACACTGTGCATTTCAGCCAGCATTTTTACCCTAAAAACATTGAGCCCAGGTCCAAAATTCGAGGCTGTGTTCAGTGTTTATTTAGGCCTCACTATTAGTCTCAACCTTATGTTGAGAAATATGAACCTGAGAAACAACTGCCTGATCTAAAGCTTCAGAGCCAGAAAGTAGGAACGCTCTTCTGAATTTATTCTTTGTAAGGACCATGGATGGCAATGATAAAGTGGTCTGGAACTAGTTTTTAAAAAGTACCCCAAGGTTTGTGGTCTAAAAGTTGTGATTTTTTCACCTTTCCTCCGCAGACTTTAGGCAAGAAGTTTTACAAATAGCCGTTTGCTTTCCGAGGGTCCTTTGTAAGCCCAGGTGAGCAGACCGTTCTTCTTTGACCTATTCTGCCTCACCACTGTCTCGCAGGAGTTTGCTGGTGAAGGTCTGAGGACACTTGTGGTGGCCTATAAAAACCTGGATGAAGACTACTTTCAGGACTGGATCGGGCGTCACCATGAAGCAAGCACTGCCTTGGAAGGACGGGAAGATAAATTGTCGGAGTTATATGAAGAGATTGAAAAAGACCTAATGGTTGGTGTTTCAGGGAATCTGGGCCAAGCTCTGGGGGAGGCAGCGAGGACGGTGGTTTGTCAAGAAACAGCTCAGTTTGACTTCAGCAAACATTGCTCTGCAAACAGCTCAGTGGGTTGTGTGATGGGAGCGGATGGGAATATGGCAGTCCTGGGTTTTCACTGGCACCTCCGTCAGGAGCCCGGAACTGGGGTGTCAGCCACCAATGCAAGGGAATGGTTTTGTTTTAACTCATGTGGGTGTCAGAGTAGCTTTCTCGAGATGAAGTGACATACCAGAGCCTAAGGGAGATGACAGGACACAAATATTTCATAGCTATCCTTTGTATACGCAAATTTATTTTCCTGTCTTTGAAATGGCAGGCAGTGAATAATCCCCAGTGCCCCTCCATTTCAGAGAGTGTCTTCTTTGTTCTTGCAGCCCTGGGCAGGATGGAGAGGTGATGCCCATGAACATGTTTGTGTCAATTTGAAATAGGGCTAAACTGTGATCTTCAAGTCATTCTTCTCTCCCTGAGTGTTGTTACAGCTTTTTGAATGCTCTGGGGGGATCTGCCTGTGTTTTAGAGCTCTGAATAATGAATGAAAAGGTTGTGTGGGATCTGAGGGGAAGCAATTCAGCTTTTGCACTCGCAGCAGTGCTTTCCTGAAATCTCGGAAATCCTGGGAGTCACACCATTGCTCCTTCCATTAGCTGTACGCTCAGGATGCCAGCAGGGCCTGGGAAGAAGCAAGCGTGAGCTGAGGAGATGCTGACCTCTGGAAGTTGGAAGTCCACAGGGCAGAGCCTACTGCCCTTCTGGGTCTCAACAGAGTAGTGGGAAATGATGATCCTCTAGTCCAGAGAATTCATGGTGCAAATGCTCTGTGGGTCATGTTCAAAGCAGGAAAGATGGAGGTTTAAGAGGTTAAGGGGCCAGCTGCTTTGCGAGAAAGGGTTATGAAGCTCATGGCCTGAGTAGAGAAAAGGTCACGGGCTCACAGCAGGAAGAAATGTGGCTCAGAAGAAGACACTGTTTACACCAGACCCTTCTCTGACCAGGAGTGATTTTACTTCCCCAAGGTGCTGTGGGAAGAACAGAGGGTGGGTGTAGGAAAGCCTGGCTTGTGACAGAGAATGGGTGTGAGAGCCAGAGTCAGCAAGGAAGCAGATGGGTCTTGTGGAGGTGTAGAGGACTGCCAAGTATCATAGTCTGGTTAGTGGGCAAGAGCAGAAGTCCCTGTGTGTGGCAGGCTCCTGCTAGGGGCCCTTAAGGGGGAGTAAGGACATAAGGACGCAAGGGATGGAACATTGTTAGATTCAAAGAATAGTAGTAAAAATACTATTTATCATTGATTGACCTAAAAGCTAAGGAAGATCCACAGTCAGGAAGGCATCATGACTGTCCCTCCAGCTGCTCTTACACCAGGTCATGGGCAGACAGGCAAAGACCTGTCAACAATACTATAGTGCCGTTCTGCAGCTCCAGAAAGACAATGGCTGTGGGGAATGCAAGCCCTCGTTCTCTCTTCCTGGGCACATTTGACATCAGTGTCCATCTTTGGCCTTCCAGCTCAGACTCAGGCTGCCAAGGATGAGCAGGTGCTCCCAGGAGGTGGCTTTGTATGCTACAAGCATTTAAGCTTTTGCTAGCTGGACCAGGGACTACTGCTGTAAAATGTGGATTGTGCACTTTTGAGGACCCTATCGAGAAGTTCCGTCAGAGCTGTTGTCTACATTGCTAACACTCATAGCTGACGAATGATGAACATCCCAGGAAGCAAAAACGGATCTTGGGCTTAAAGCCAACCTCTGAATTTAGTCTCCCAACAGCAGGAGGTAGGTGGTAGCAGATGCTGCCTAAACCTGAGCTAGCAGTGAAACCTTCATGTCCCTTTGACAATAGGCCACCAAGTATCTCCAAAATGCAGAAAAAGCAGTAACTTTAAAATAATGAAGGTATGTGTCCTGAGCAGTCTGTGGTTTACTTGTGTGACAGCGTGGAGCAGAGGTGGGGACAGGTCTGTTATGGGCTGAAGAAGATGTTTAGCAGCCAAATGACAGCTGCAGTACAATATAGCTGGGAGCAATCTCCACACTAGAGGATGCATATGGAGGTTTGGGGACATGAATCCGCAGCTGTCTTTGCCCCTCAGTTAAAACTCTGAAGGGGCCCATGTGGAAGAACACAGACCTGTAGGTCTACAAACATGTTGGCAAATAATTTCATGATTGCTCATGATTCATTTGAGCCTGGGGGATTAGAGACTAGAACATTTGCAGGATCAGGGCTCTGCTCTGTTCAGTAAATTTGCTGAGGAAGAATGAAAATCAGTACAACCTTATTCCTGGATTTCATTTGTATTTGCTTGAATAATTACCTGGAGGTCTAATGCTTTCTCCTTTGGTAGCAATGGGAAGACTTACCAGTTCTCTGCCATTTTCTGTTAAGCTGCTAGGTGCCACAGCAATTGAGGACAAGTTACAAGACGGGGTCCCACAGACAATTGAGACTCTTGCCAAAGCCAACATTAAGATATGGGTTCTCACTGGAGACAAGCAAGGTAAAGGGGCTACAGCTTTGGGTGTTTCTCTTCTCTCTCACCGGTGGGATGGCTCTGCTAAGACCCATATTCTCATTCTTTCTCCTTTGAAAACTGCACAGAAGACAAACTTACAGGGCTTTGCTTCATTGCCAGCTAGGCAAAATTCCAGTTATCTGGAATTAGACCAGATAACTATAGCTAGTACCTGTTCTTAATTCCTGTTCTGGGGCTTGAAGAAGTGTGAAGGCAGCATCCTTTGCCTTTGGAGAGGTGACAGTGAGCATCCCATAGTCCCTGTCATATGCTGTGAAAAGGTGTCATTTTAGTGCAGTCGACTGTCCTGGTGAAGAAGGTGGAAAAAATCTCGTCCTGCTTTCCAGGAACTTTAATGCTAAAGTGAATGTTGGGTCTGTTTCAGTTTGGTCCTGGCATTAATGATCCAGAATAGAAATGGACGAAATTTAGGCTTTTGGAGAAAGCATTAAGTTGGAAAGAACGGTAAATAGATGCCAATGAATTCTTTTGGAGAAACAGTAACTTCACTGAAACAATGGTGTTTCAGGGAGGTCAAAAGTGTTTGCAAATAATTTCATCTAAGAAATGAGCAGAGAATTTTTGAGAAAAATTAAACATTTCATTTTGTCATGTTCCAAGTGTAATAGTTTTGCTTATGAAATACCAAAATAATTTTTCTTCAGAATTTTCTGAACAAAATATCTTTATACTCTTCTTCAGAACTATGGTTTGGGGCTTTTCTGGGACCAGGGGGAGGGAAAGTTAAAAATCCTGAAAAAAAATTTTTGAATCAACATGAAATGTTTTTGTTGCTCCAAGTATGTTGGCCAAAGGGTGTTTTAAGCTTTTTCATTTTGGTAGAATTATTTTTTTCTGTGGCCTTCTGAAGCCCAATTAGGGGAGATTTGCTGCTACACCCATCAAGGGGACTCTCCTGGCTCTCTTAAACTGTGACTCTGAAAGGCTCAGAGCTCTTTTGAGTGAGAAAGAGAGCTTTTGTCGTGTGTGTAAAAAGGCCACAGAGGAGGTGGGTGAGTTTGGGGCTGCTAAGATGGGTCATTTTCCTGGTTTATCTTTCCCAGAGACGGCAATGAATATTGGTTACTCCTGCAACTTGCTGAATGATGACATGGAAGATGTTTTCGTTATCGAAGGCAGCACATCTGATGATGTACTTAATGAGCTGAGGTAAATGGCTGAAATACACAGCTTCATTGCTGTGCACTGACACTATTTGTATTTTGTATTACTCCACCTTTTTTTCCTGTGGGCTTTACTTGGTGCAGTCCATTTAAGGACCTTAGATAAGGGCTAGCTGGCTCCCTGGAAGGTCCAGCAGCTAAACACAATGTAGAAATTTCCTGAGGATAAACTCTGAAGCTTCTTGATCCAAGAGGTCAAATCTATGTAAATGTATAAGAAAGCAGAGTCAGGCAGGCAATATTAGCTAACATTCGACAAGTGATCTGGAGCCACAAAGCCTTTGGCTCCAGGCTTGAGCTATCTGTTGCTCTATTGCTATTGCCATTCATCCACATTGCGGTCCTTCGTCTGGACATGGTCCTTTTCTAGCATTATCTGGAAATCTACCTTCCTCCCTAGCCTCCTCAGTATACACAAGTTCTTAGGTATAGGTGGAAAATGGGAAAGTTTTTCAATCCTTTTCACTTGAAATAGGTGGTTGCCAGACAATATGCACAGAAAATTGGGATGCCCTTTGGGATACTGTCCTTCATGACACTCAGATGATTTGTTTGACTTTAAATCAGTACAAGTTTAGCACACACTTGTTAGAGTTTCAAAAGCATGTGGATGATCTGCACGAACAGCAGCAGCTAAACTATGCATGTTGTTGCAGGGATAGAGGAAAAATTGAACTAAATTATAAAACAGAAGCATCAATTTTTTGATTGATAAAGTTGATTTAATAAAACATATATATCTTTACAAGCTTTTCATTATTGTTCTGGATTTTTTTTAGGAATGCAAGGAAAAAGATGAAGCCAGACTCCTTTCTGGACAGTGATGAAATCAACATTCAATTTAAAAAATCATCAAAAAACCCAAAAGTTATACCTGATGAGCAAGCAAATGGGGTGTACGGTCTGGTTATCACTGGCCACAGCCTGGTAAGGAAGGTTCAGAGTCATGTTAGGGCTGAGTTCTCTGAAGAACTTAATGTGATAGGGACATACTGGGAGTCTGAAAATGCTTTAAAAACTTAGCTCTAGAGGACCGGATTTTTTTTTTCCTAATTGAAGATTAGGCTCAGTAGTTATCTAAGACATCAAAGGTGATGGGCAAGGTTTCAGAAGACTGGAACAGGGAAGAGTTGGCCCTGATGTTGGCGAACAAGATGGGTAGAGTAGCTGTATCAATTTTCATTTCCAGAAAGATACTGGAAAAATAATCGGGCAGTTTATGGATGCAGGAAGAAGATAAGATAACATCAGACATGGGTTTCAAGTATGCCAAGAACGTGTTCTACTAAATATATCTGATAACATATATTTAACAGATAGGATATATATCTTATAACTCAACTAATAAATTGTTTGATGGTCTCTCCCATGACGTTCTTCCAAGCGAACTGAAGTGATATGGTCTAGATGAAATTGTTAAGTGACAGATGCAAGACTGCTTGGAAAGTATGGCTCTTAAGGGCTCACTGTTGATCTAAAACAAGTTAAGTGGCATCTGCAGGGGGCTATCCCACATCTATTTGATATTCAGTGTTTGCATTAACTGCTTAAAAAAAGAGCAGGTAACACCAGGCTGGGAGAAACCGCAGGCATGATGGAGTTCAAGATTGGATTTGAAAACAATTTTAACAAGTTGGAGAAATACTTTGGAAAAATGGAGAATGCAATTCAGTAAACAAATGCCTTGTTCTCCATTTTCACATAATCAACTACACACGTACAAAATCAGAGATATGTATGTAAAAGCATCATCTGTTAGACTTGTGAAGAAAGCCTCCTGCTTCATTTGGCATCGGTAAAGTCTTAGGTGAAACAATTTAACTTATTTGGGCCATTTTCTTTAGGAAAATGTAAACCAACTAGAGAGAGTACAAAGAAAACTGTAAGAGTAGTCAAGCATGATCTGGAAAGCATAGGGGCAAACTGAGAGAGTTAGGACTTCTGAGCCTGGAGAATACTGATCAGTCTTGGTAATGCTTTTCAAATAATAACAGGTAAACATAGTAATTGAATTCAACTGAGATAAGAGAGTTTTGGGTGAAATGTCTTCCTGGTGAGAATAGTGAAGTGCTGGAATAGATTTTCCATCCTCAGAAATTTTTTAGAACATATTAGAGAAAAAACAGTTTAGATGATAGATACATTTCAACTTGTCTGTGAGGAAGATTTAGTCTAGATCAGGTTTATTTGTCTATTGTATTTTGCTTTCCCAGATTGCAGGGGAAGCAAATAGGTAGACATGGAAAGAGGTGGGAGGTGCTGCCTTTCAGAGACAAGATGCTTCTGTTCCCTGTGGTTGCCTCCTCTCTTGATAGCAGTCCAGCAAATTTAACTCCCAGCTCTATGCCAGCCTGGCAAATTACTATTAAAAAAAAATCTCATCTTGCTCCATTTTTGGCTTATGTGCCATGTATACAGATCCTGGACTAGAGGGGACACTTTCAGGCAGAGTCTAGGTTGTCAAATACCCCCTCTCCCTCTTTTACGCTCGCTCCCTCTTTAACTCCAGGGCCTTAATCTTTAAATCCCCACTGCAAAACGGACAAGAGCTCTATCAAGTTCTCTGCATCTGCATAGGTGAATCCTCTGACATCCCAGCTGGCTGCGAGTCCCTGCCTGTTCCTACTCCGTCCCTTCAGCCTGCAGCACAGACCCGGAGTGCTTTGCTATAAAAGCACCCCTGGCAGCGGTGACAAATTTTCCTTTTATTCCTGGAAAACCACACACTCACCCACACCCTGGCAAGGAGACATGTCACACACAAAGAAATTCAAATCTGGGCTGTATGGGAGCAGCCAGCCCACATAGCCTGCAGCAGAGTGGACACGGCCAGTCTTACCAAGGCCATGGCTTTCTCCTGGGTGTGGACCACAAGGATAGCGTGGACAAAACTATGTGTTATTTATTTATTTCTATAAGCCTAGAGCTTGAACAATGGTAATAGTGCTGATATAGTCCCATTCAAACACAGCATCTGTTCAGCGCCATATCCCTATGTGCAGATGGGTGGGATGGCAGCACTGGGGCTATGTCCACATGTGGTCTTGCTTCAACAAAGTGAGTGAACAGACGCACATTAGCATCTGTAATGGCATCATCATACTAATTGATTTGTGTGCAGTTCCGTTAATATACGATGTAATAACAATTTGCTAGTGCTGTGCAGTGAGGATGTTGTGGCAAAAGCCATTTCTAACTGCACTGACCAGCCTATACTAAAGCTAAACCATGAAAAGGTCTCTTTTGTTGAGCAAGCCTGCCTGCCACTGACGGGAGGGAAGCGGCAGTGCTGGTGACTCATAGCTCTCTGTTTCAAAAAGAAAGGATATCTGGCCTAAGGATTGTCTGCCTTATGCAGAAAGGGCAGTGGGCCTGCTGTAATGCCTCTGTGGAGGAGAAAGCCCTGTAGATTCCTTCCATGCGTATCTACTGAGAAGAGACACCAAAGAACAGAGCCAAAAAGCATGTTCTGAAAGAAATATGAAAAGCTAACACTGCTACCTCCTCCTCACGCAGAGCTGGAGGGGTGACCCCACATCCAATTATCTCTGTGCTTCCCCAACAGAAATAACATGGCTGATTGATTTAAAAGGACAGCACTCAGAGCAAAGTTGCCTTCTCCCTGGCTTTGTATTTTGCTTTGTCATGCCCACCTGAGCTCAACTTTTTCCATGTTTTTTTTTAATTAAGTACTCCCAAATTAAAGTCTCTTCTATTTATACCAACAGATCTCCCAGAGCTTAAAAAATAAACCAAGAGGGACGAGCAGAGACTGTCTTGCATGGAGATAGGCAAGGTTGTCTCAGGCCCAGCAGCAGCTTCGTTAATTTAGTGCTCCTGTTGTTTGACATTTCTGCTGCACTGTCAGGTTACATCAGCCAGAGCAGCTGTTGTGCATATCCAGCTGTGGTGCACCCAAGGTGCAAGCTCATAGGTGTACACTGCGTGGCATGATGTTGCGCGGTGTGGATGCTCCCTGCGACTGAATGGATGGATTCACTTGGGGTATCTCACACCATCCTTCTGCCGAACGGAAGAACTAGTTCTCATTTCCTTCCCGCTGCATGCTCTTTGTCAGGCCACGAGTTGCTGCTGGTCTGACCTGAACGCCCCCTTTGCTCCTTCTTCTCAGGCTTACGCACTGGAAGGGAATCTGGAGCTGGAGCTGGTGAGAACCGCCTGCATGTGCAAAGTGGTGATCTGCTGCCGGGTGACTCCGCTGCAGAAGGCCCAGGTGGTGGAGCTGGTGAAGAAATACAAGAAGGCTGTGACCCTGGCAATCGGAGACGGCGCCAACGATGTCAGCATGATCAAAAGTGAGTGACAGCCGGCAGCCGGCATGCTCTAGCAAACTGAGTCACTGATGTATTTGCTATCTGAGGTGGCCTAGCAGCAGGAACACATATCTGAGCGCCTGCTGTACCACCCTCTTTGTGGCACCGAGCGGCTGTGTCCCAAGTTTTGGCAGGTTTCTACAGGGCACTGTCACTATAGGCTACTCGTGTCTCCTGCCTTCCAGGACACACAGGAGAGCCCTTCGCTGTGCTCCCACCACCAAGATCGCAGGAAGCTGAAGTTGCACTTACTGCCTATTTCTCTGTTTCTACCTTAGAATAGATAAAAGCCCACCGGGGCTGTGACATGTCCACCTGTCTGTCTGCATGGCCACCACCACAAGGGCAAAACAAAGAACAAAAATTTTGTTTCAGAGAGGGCCTGTCTGCAATGCAGAAAGAAAATCTTCATGCCTGTAAATAGTCTGTATAAGGTTACATGATTTTTTTTAACATTTCCATGTGGTAGGGCCATTTGTCAATTATCTCCCTTGAGTTACAAATCACAGGCTTCTAGGCCCCTTCGTCCTTGAGTATCATTTGATGCTGCATTACCTCAGTGAATTTATGGAAAAAAAACCCTAACTAGGTCTAATTAAATTAAGATTATTCAGAAGGGCCTATTGCTAATCTTCCTTGTGTTAATTTGCAAGAATTGATTAACTGGAGCCTTTTAATTAAGAAAGAAAAGGCTAAGTAGGGAGCTTCAAGGGAGATAAGTCAGGCAGTCAGTAAAGAAAGGATAAGAAAAGTTAAAGTGTACATGATAATTAGAAACTAACCCACTCCCCCCACGAGAGGGTTGGGACATTGGGATTTTATCAATTCACTGTTCCGTGGAAACCTCTGAGTCTAACCAACCTCCAGCCATCAAGGTTGCTCTCGTCAGTTAAAGCTGTATGATTAGCTGTACATTAAACTTATGTCCATGTTTAATAAACCCAAGTTACTATTAAAAAAGATGTGACTCTTCTATCTAATTATTTGATTGAACCAATAAAGCCTAGGAAATGTAAAAAGGCTTCAGTCTGCCTTATAGCACTATGTCTGAGAAATCTATAAGGGGTTTGAAGATTTTCCTTGTCTGGAACAATATTCTAAGGCCGCTGGAAGGACATGCATGCATGTAAATACAAGTCACATGTCAATATAAATTGAAGTTATTTTTTCGTAACAGCAGCTGTTATGAACCACAGCATTTATGCTGTTGGAAAACATTCAGAAAGAAAACATGAATTGTCATTGAGGGTGTAATTTCATTCAAATAATACAAGCCCAGTTACTGGAAATGTATCACCACAGCCAAAATCATAATGCTGCTGAAAGAATTAACGCCCCAAAATACAATTTTTTTTCAAAATAACTTTACATATGGCTTTTTATGAAGGCTGGGAGGGAATTAACACAGTGTCCCAGTGCAGGGAACTCATTTAAAAAATGGGGCAATCAAAACTCTCAGTCTAATTACATGATCAATAACCTTCTTGTTGCAGCTGCCCACATCGGGGTTGGTATCAGCGGCCAGGAGGGGATGCAGGCGGTCTTGTCCAGTGACTTCTCCTTTGCACAGTTCCGTTACCTGCAGCGCCTGCTCTTGGTCCACGGCCGGTGGTCCTACATCCGCATGTGCAAGTTCCTCAAATACTTCTTCTATAAGAATTTTGCCTTCACATTAGTGCATTTCTGGTATGGCTTCTTCTCTGGCTTCTCAGCACAGGTAGGTCCAGCTTCTGTTTTCTCATTGTCATGTCTAGCATTTTCAAGTAAAGTATCTGGAAAAAATTTAAAAGGAAATAAACTAAGCCACACCCGCCCTGCCCCCTTAGTGAATGGCATGCAGGTCTGTCTTCTTCAGCTGTATGAGTATAAAGCAGATACTGCCTCCTTCACTGTGCTGCTGGTAGAGGACAGATGCCTGAAGACATTTAGGTGCATTATGAAGCACGTAGATACCTTGTGGGATTTTTGAAAGCGTTCAAACTGACTACAGCCATCAAACAAGGATACAGATTACACAGAGGCCTGACCAGTTTGGTGCAGATCTGTGTAAGACCTATGCTTGCCCTATTAGCACATTTGAAGCAATCAGCTTAACCCCGGGTGTGCTTCAGCAGCTCGCAAGAGGAGCGAATCTCCGGCAGTGAAAAATTTGGTGTTAGTTTAAGATAAACCCATCTCCAACCCAACCAGACCCTGGGAAGCGCAGATAGTGTGCAAGTGTTACTCCGGGGCTGAGGGTGCAGGGGTTCAGGCAGGGCGGCTGCCGCCC